GTTTTTGCCTAACTAGGATTTACACAAGCTTCAGTCCGGATCCAGAACACCTGAGAAGAGATGATGCCAACCCCTCAGAAGACCTCAGATGATGCCAACCCTGAAACAACATACAGAACTACCACATTTTGCTATAAGTTTGATTGCATCATATAATAATTGCTGTTAATAGTGTTCATCGTCTGTTTTATTACGTCTTAAATTGATTTTTCCGTACATTTCTGCCATATGTACATTAATTGACAGTCACCACTGATAAGCTACCACTAAATATTGTAGAAACTTAATTTGCTGTAAAGTTGCTTTGCAATGATCTGTATCGTGAAAAGCGCTATACAAATAAACTTGACTTGACTAAAGTAGTACATGTTTCATAATGCTTTGGTACCAAGGCATCAAGGTACTGAAATAAAAAGATGTAATGATACCATTTTTCTTTACAGTCCTGCCATATGGCCAAAATTATACTTACTAGTGACAGAAACACTGAAGCTCTTAATGCTGGTGGTACTGTAGCGGTTTCTGCTGGATTTGATCTTTAGATGATAAACTCCAGAGTCTGTGCTTCTGGTGTTTGTGATGGTCAGAGATCCAGTCTGATGATCCAGCTGCAGTCTGTCTCTGAATCTCTCATCACACTCATCATCTGTCCAGATCTTACTCTGATCTCCAGTGATTTCAGCGATGAGAGTATCATTAAAAAACCACGCCATCACATCATTTGGTTTTTTTTCTTCAGGAGTGTCTAAAGTGACAGATTCTCCCTCCGTCACTGCCTTTCTCTTCATTCCAGCAGCAGGAACATCTGAAACACCAATCGAAACTCTTCAATAGGAACAAACTATTTAGCAGATTCATTTCTTGGATCTTAAGAAATTCAGAAGAAACAACATTAAATGTGCAAAATAAAAAATGAATTGTGCTTAAAAGAATTCTGTCGATCTATCTTTATTCATACAGACTTAGAAATGTCTCTGCAGAATTAAAAATTTATTATTGACCCATACATGTATTACACATAGACATGCATAATGTAGTTTGTATTACTACACAAGAAACAAATTACAATGTATTACTACAGAAGAATATAAATTAGTGTTTTATAATTTCACCAAGCACTTTTTGAATAATCTTGTGATCATAATATGAGAAAATATGACATTAACATTATTTTAGGTTTCTTTATCGTCAATCTGTAAAGCAACATTTATCGAGATTCTGTGCTTATAAACACAGTTTATGTGCTTATTGTACAACAAATCCTCTGCAATTTGGAATCCAGTAAACTAAAAAACAATGAGTATGAAATAACAGAGCAATTTAAATGGTGGTCAGACGAGAAACTGACCAGAATAAAACTAAATCCAAAGCTAATAACTCATCAGTGGACACACAAATTGGTTTAAAGTCATTGTTCTGGTACTGTCTGAAAGCAATTCTGAATGTCCGTATTATGATAAACATATTCATTCTGTGATTTGAACACATATAACCTGCTTTTAAACATCCACTAATAACTCACCATGGACAACAACATCAAAATCCTTTCCAGTGTGTCTGCTGCTGAAGACCTTTAGATGATAAACTCCATTATCTGAGGTGTTGGTGATCGTAAGATCAGCAGTCTGATTGTCCAGCTGCAGTCTGTCTCTGAATCTCTCATTACTACCTTCATGACACTGAACATCTGTACAGATATCACTGAGATCTCCACTGATTTGAGCAATGAAAATGTCATTAAAATACCATTTAACTCGGTCTGGTTGGTTTATTATAATATTAGTGTGCAGAGTGACTGAATCTCCCTTCATCGCAGACACCGACACTCTGTCTGCGCCATCATCAGATGCACCTGGAGAAGAAATAAACAGCTTATTATAATTCTCTTTTTAGATAGAAAGAAAAATAAAATAATAATTATGAATATTCCATATACATTTCACAGACCCTCAGGTGCCTGACGAATACTGTCCCTTCAAAATACCTATTCGAAATATTTCTTTCACATATATCATTTCAGTTCCCTTTCATGGGAACTTCGAACTGCGTCCTCTAGGGGTCGCTATGGGGAACGCCTCGTCGTGACCCGTGTCTGAAGCATACATTGAAAAAACACCAACTTGTTGGCCGGCGACAGCCATGACGTCACTACCGGTGCGACTATAGTATAAATAGGCGCCGGGAGCACACATCATTCTCTTCTTCGTCTTCACTGACCGGTCTGTTTGAAGCGTGCATTCCAAAAAGCAAAGTAAGAGCTTTTTCTTT